AGGGTGGGGATGTATGATGGATAATTTTAGGATTTTTGTAGATATTTGAAATTAACCCTCTACATCACGGGTGTCAAACTGGCGGCCCTCCAGCTGTTGCCAAACTACAAGTTCCATGAGGCATTGCAAGATTGACAGAAGCATGACTCCCAAAGGCAGAGGCATAATGGGACTTGTAGTTTCACAACAGCTGGAGAACCGCCAGTTTGACACCCCTGCTCTACATGTTGCAAAGGGTTTTAAAAGGTGTGGGGACAGAAATAGGCGCGATGGAATGTGCACAGTGTTTTATTTGGACATAATTCAAAGGGATCTGGGTGTTTAATTTATATCGTTCCTGAAGAGTATAGACTGGTAAAAGTTTTAGTCCTCATGTCTGTGACATGACATCGCTTATGTGAAAGAGAGGTTTCAGTTTCCATGGCAATACCATGTGATGAGTGTGACTATCTGGTATAACTGGTGTATAGAGAGAGGAAATCATAGGGAAAGTAGTAGTCATCAAATGGAATTTGATTTTGCATATGTTCCAGATCCTTTTTGTGAATTTCATTGTGCAAAGGAGGTCTAGGTTCTTTAGGTTGATATCTGGGCCCTGAAGTAAAGTGCTGCTGTGCCCTGTGGTAATTATTAATTTTTCAAGCTCAGACCATTTCTTGTAGGAGTATAAAAATGACCAGAGAATCACTTATCTTAGGGAAGATGAGTAGTACTAGTAGTTTATGCAGTTAGGGAATGCTAGTCCCCTACAAGTTTTAGGTGCTGTGAGAATGGCTTTAGTGACACTGCCTTCTACATTCTTCCCAGGTGACAAAGTAGATCTTGTTGGAAATTTTGAGGTTTGACTAAGGAGCTCTGACATTTGTGACATAGGAAAGTAGTTTAGATAGTATAATCATTTGATGTTATGTAGTACCCAGTGGTGTAAAAGTTGTCTTATTTCCTGCAAGTGGGGGTAGTTGGCATCGTACAGTTTTGGAGTTGGGCGTCAAGTTGATACCTAAATAGTGAATACTCTTGGGTGTTCCAAGAGTAGCGATATGAAGAGGAGAGGCCTAAGGTATGTGATTTTTAAATTCATAGGTAGAACATCTGATTTATAGTCACTGATGTTGTACCCCAGAAGAGCTGTAAATTCTATAATGGGGTATGTAGGTTTGCAAGAGTAATCAACTGTTGGGTAAGTGTGAGGATTATATTATCTGCGATAAGGGAAGGCTTAAATGATCTGCGTGGAGATATTCCAATCTGAGAAGCTGCAAATTGTAGTTGTAAAGGTTCTATGTATGATACAAATAAGAGGGAATAAGGTGGATGTGGCCGAGTGGAGGTTCACATAAGTGGAGAATGCAGTGTATAAGGCTTGAATAGCTGTTAGTACTTGACACCTATATGTTCTAGGGTCACAGAGACAAGGCCAGCTAAAGCGGTTAAACACTCTTTTAGCTTTTTAGCTGAGGACAGCACCTTCTTTTCCTCCTTGTTTTGGATAATGTTCATTAGTTCGATGGCTCTGCAAGTGTTGTCTCCTGCCTGACAAAAGGATAGGATTTCCACTTGATCTTTGTGGATTAGGGCTAGAAGAATCTGAACAAGCCTGTTAACAAGGAAGTTGGCACAGTTGAAGGTATCTTTTCCCTTTTCCCTTTTTGTTTTTTTTTTTTAATTTTTGGATAGCCATAAGATATGAATGTTTCATAGATGGAGAGATTCCTTGTAAGAAGCTGTTAAAAATGCTGCACATATGTGGGGTTGGGTTTAGATATGTTGAAATGTTTTATAGTAGTATGTAAAACCATCCGGGCCAAGAATTGCTGCCAAGGAGGGCTTTAATGGTGTCTTGAATGTCTTAAGAGAGTTCAGGGACGTGCTGTCCTTGGGATATCTGGGGCTGGGGGTCTGGACACTTTTCAGGCCAGTGTGTTCCTTCCCTTGGAGAAATGTCAAAATCCCAGGTCAGGGTTCCTCATTCACCTTACCTTTTGTGTCTGCATGAGGTCCTATGCTTTTTTTTTTCTCAAACTTTTCTTGTCTGCTGGTTTGAAATGGAAGGCATTCGGTTATCTTAATTGTTCAAGATTGTCCTGGGAGGATATGGTACGACCTGGAAAGACTTCTTGCAGACATAATGGTGGGTGTTCTTTGCACTCCTGTACCTTTTAAGAGGGGTGGGCTCCCTTTATGTGCACCTGCCCTTGGTCTATCCTTTAAATGCATGTGCCTCTACTATGGGGACTCTCAAATTTGTAGAGTTAGGACCACAGAATATCAGGGTGCCGTGATGTGGCTCTGTGACTTACATATGTATTTGCAAATGTGTGCTAACTAAACCCCTGTTTTTAACGCATACTGTTAGACAGGTTAATTTGGTTGTTGGCAAGCTGACTGGCGAGTTGATTTTTGAACCCTTTTTTTATTTTTATTTTTCCTTTATTTCTGACATAATGTGGGCATTGCCAGACCAACAAATCTGTTGTTAGAAGGACAGATTTAACACCTTGCTTATTGGCCACTGGCTTTACTGACATGGTTGTTGAAGCCCAGGTTCTAATGGATAGGGACATATATATGTTGGATTACTACAATATTCAGGGCTGGAATCTCCATTTCCAGCATGGTTTACCATAGTATGTTGTATGAGTCAAAGGACTTTCACCCCGGTTTTTCTATGTAGCTTATATCCTTGTTGACCAACATTTTAGCTCTTAGTATCGTCAAAGGCTAGTTGCAGAGAGCCTTGTGCAGTTCAATCCCCTTTAGTTTAGTGGGATTTAAATTTTGGTTCTTTTAGTGCTTTAGAAACTGCTGCTTTAAACCTGTTGGAGACATTCAGCTCCTTGTCCTGACCCACAGGGTGTTTTTGTGGGCCATCACCTTGGTTAGGTAAGTGACTAGGCTAGCGGCTTTATACTGCAAAGGACCCTTCTTGGGCCTGCACAAGTACAAGATGTTATTGAGGACCCAGGTCAAGATGATCTCTATTTTCCACCTTAATCAGGGTGTTCTTCTGTATCTCTGTCTGGCTCTTGTTCACCAAAAGGAAATGCACAAATCTATCAGTCACTGTTTCTTTCACGAAAACTGATTCCCATTTTGTCATCCTTCACTGGCGCAGGAAACGCAACTTTTCTTCTTAATCAACAATCTCTAGTTGGCTAAGACAGACCCGTTGTTCAGGCTTTCTGGTCTTAAGGGTCAGGTTCACCCTTTTCCAGTTAAGACTTGCTCCACTTGGGCTGTGAGCATCTCTTAGACTTTTCAGCATCAGGCCTGTTTCAAGGGTGCTACTTAGTCTTCTGTTCACCCATTCTCTAAGATGTATTAGGTGGACATTTTCATCCTTATATGATGCTAGCTTCGGGACTAAGGTTATTCAGGTGAATTTTGAGCTGAAGGTAATTTTTCTTTTGTTCATGTTGGGGTTGTTAGAGATTGTTTGCTTTATTTTATACCCTTCCGTTGGACTGCTTTTGCATGTTCCAAAGGTTTAAGACTTTGTGTCCCTTGATGGAATCCAAGAAAAGGATTTTATGGTGAGCACACAAATCCATGGAAGCCTTCTTAAAGCAATTGTATACCAAAGTACAACTATAGAAAGAGAGGCCATCGTTTTGGTAGCAGGCACCATCAGGTATATGCCCTTAACTATTCAGTGGTTCCCCAAAGCAGGACCCCCATAAAAACTTGGTATATCCAGGTATGGGATGTGACAAGCTTTCTGCCAGTCTGTAATATTTAAAGAGGGGGAATTTTTCATGGTGCTTTGGTGGTGGGAAAATGTAGAGAACAGCAGGCAGCATTGGCCATGAATACACATCTACTCCACATTAGCCCTGACTATGGTAGTTCCCAGCAACCCAAGGTCAGATATCTAACAGAATGTCATTCTTGATCATATATCTTTATAAGGAAAGCTGCGATTAAAGAAATATGGAAGCTACCATTGCTGACTACTTATTATTGTTAGTTGCCTGCAGGGGCGGACTGGTAACTCATGGGGCCCCCGGGCAATAGGGGATCATGGGGCCCCTGTGTCCTTGCCCAAACTCAAAAAAGCCTATGAAAAAGGTACCAGGGGCATCTCATGGGGCCCCCTACTGACCCCGGGCCCTCGGGTAGTGCCTGAGTTTCCAAATGGTCAGTCCGCCCCTGGTTGCTTGTGTTCCGTGCTGATATTATGGCTTTAATGCTTTTGTCCTAAAAACAAGCATGAAAATCAGTAGACCAGATTTTGGTCTTACTTTACTTTATGCATCCTTGTTGACCCAACTACTTAGATTTGAGATGATAAAGATATGACATGAATGGCTCAGTCTCTAACAGCCAGGCAACCTGTTTCATTTAAACCAGAACATCATGAAAAGCTAGTAGGCACAACTGAATCCAGCTCTGTAATCAGTCATTTTTAAATATCTGGGTTTTTTTTTTTAACCATTTGTGTTTCTTTGGGGAGATTTCTCTTCACTCCTGTCCCATTGTTAAATCGGGAAGTGAGAGGAAATCCCTCCAAATTTAGAGAGCCCCTGTTTGTCACCAAGTTTACCAGAACTAGTGTCCCCATTGGAAGATATCCTCTCTATTCCTGTTCTGTTGACAACTAAAAATTTGGAATCTTCTTTCAGCTTTACAGTGAGTGATGATGGTAAACAGGACACATAGAGAGGATGATTCTCCCTATTGGGGGCACAGACAGCAATACAAACCCAACGTAAGAAATGTTTTGCCTTTTGCTATACTTTGTGAAAGTGAAACTTCAGCAGAAAAAAAAATCATGTCCCCCACCCTGCTAGACAGAACTGTTATGTGGAATGCTGTGCAAAATTCAGGAGTAGGTGAACAAATACAAATGTTTGCAGGCTATGCTGCTTCTTTATATATTTTTAATGTATGTATTTAGTTGTTTGCCTGGAATTCAGCATAAATATCGAGGCAGATGGCCCTTACAGCCCTAGCACGTTTTGATTTCAAATTTAATATTTAAAATTTCTCTTTTTTTATAGAGTCTCCATGAAAATAAGACTGTGGAAGACATCCTGCAGAAACAGTTCAATTCTTCAAAGGATCTGCGATCGCTGCACATGCTATTGGTAAGTTGGTATACAAGTTGTAATCAAAATAGAATTATGGCCTATCATTACAAAAAAAAACAAAAGATAGATAGATATAGATGTGTGTGTATGAGAGAGAGAAGAAAAAAAAACACATTAGGATGCCCTGGTTGCTGGCACTGGTCCTGACTGTTCACCGTTTCACCTATTCATTGTGATAGATTGATTTTCTATAATCTATATCGCCCATAAATAAGTGAAACGGGCACGGTGAATAGTAACTGCTGTAATAAAACTAATGCCACATCAGTATTAGGATGCAGCGCCCTTAACTGTTTCACTGTGTATGTGTACTCTTTTTTTAGTACCAGCACCACATCCGCAGGGAAAGTAGCGGGTAGAGAAGGGAAGGGGGGGTAAGCTGACTATTTTATATAGAAAGTAGTAGCATATTATTAAATGTGTGTAGTTGAACTTCTGGATTAGTAAGCAAGCAATACTTCATTCAAAAGGTATTTCCATGTATAACATTACTGTATAAATTATTTGATATACATAGCTTTACCACAGATCCTCTCTAAGATTTTTGTGTGTGTTTTTTTTTTTTTTTTCTTTGTTTCTGTAAATTTTAAAAGTGTTTAACTTCTGTTTTGTTTTTTTTTTTTTTTTTTTTTTATTCAGCTGCTGGCTGTATGTAGAGTATGCGTGTCTCACCCTCATCTGAATGCAGTGGACTTTGTAGAGGCCAACAGACTTCGCAGTGTGGACTCAAAAGCCAATATTCTGCATGGTGAGGAGGATCTGTATAGACTAGGCATTCTCAGCCAGGGTACCATGGAACCCTAGGACTCCTCCAGAGGTTACTAGGGGTTTCCTTGAGCTGTGGCTAAATGACCTCCCATTTGATGGTGCCTATAAATTTCCAGGGCCAACGCTACCTGGCAGAATCAGCGGCATGATACCAATGATCTTTTTAACTATCTTTAAGGGTGACATTCTGATGACCTATCTAAGGGTGCATTCTTCCCACTGACCTCCATTGGATTGTTTTTAGCAATGGTTTCCAGAGACCTGAAAATTATTTCAAAGGTTTCCCAAGGTAAAATTTTGAGAAAGGCTGGCATAGACTATTGCTGCTTGGGTAAGAGCAATATTTCCTGACTCTTGCAGCACTGCAAAAATGAGCTTATACTGCTCTCTGATGGATTGTGTTGGGAACATGTAGAGACATTGCAGCTTTATATTTAGTGAGGAATAAGTATGAATGCATCCAATATGATTTCCACTTGCAGTACCTGCAATACAGTTAAACACATACTGTAGGTACACTTTATTACCAAAGTTTGTGGACACCTGGCCATCACACGTATATGAGGTTTTGCCAATTGCTTTCCAAAACATTAGAATTATCTGTAAAGATGAAATGTCTTTGTATGCTGTAGCATTAGCAGTACCCAGTCAACTGAATTCATTAGTTCGGAGGGTTCCACATACATTTGGCCATATAGTAGGCCTGATAGTCAGGTGTCCACTAATGTTTGGTCATATGGTGTATGTGTGACATGTCATGTGACCTTTCATTCTTGCTTCTCTGAACTGCTACACCTTTGCACACTTGATGTATTGGACATTTTCATATGTAAGCCAATTTACAGCATTTAAAAGCATCATCCCACTTAGCCCTTCCTTTTATACTGTGGTGTCATGGTGGGTGGCAAGGGCTATCATAGTGCGACTGCCCTGGTTTGACACAAAAGAAATGACTTTTTATGTATGGGCAGAGTTATGGTATTATGAAGCCATGTTCTACCATGATGGAGACAATACAGCTTCTCCCTCACAGCTCTACATATAGGATATGTGAATCTGGAACTATTGAACATTTGATAGTTCTGTTCTACGAAGAGTAGAGAAAATGCACAGTGTGTGGTGACCCACGGCAACAAATTAGTTTCTGGGTTGTTGAACCACTTAAGAAGTGCACTCGGCTGTCTTATGATACAGCACTTGACATGTTGTTCTTTGCTTTTTCAGTTAGTGTTCTATGCACTATAGCATCTCATATTGGTGATACGTGTGATGCTCTACCATAATGCCCCCCCCTGATTAAACCCTCCCTTATATAAAATGAACCCCTTGTTTTGGATGTTCACATCTCTGAGGAAAAACAGACCAATGCTAATTTATAAAACATAAATCAAGTTATGTTCAGCTTCCTATATTAAATACAGTAATTTCTAAGTTTCACGTTCACGTTGCCTCTGTGCAAATCAACCTCTTTCTGGTCCTTTCCCAATGAGATCTGTGCTCCAGCACACAGAATGGTCATTTAATGGTCATTCCCTAGTGGGATTCCACCTCTAACACACACCTATCTTTCTTATGTATCTCTTCTCTAGCACACACTCTCCAGTTTTAATGTTCGCCACTCCCCCCTCTGTCCCCTTCCTCTGCAGCACTCATCTCCAACCCTATTCTCCCCCCACCAACACCGATCACCTGTGGCTCCCATGCAATTGATGGTAGGAGGGTTGAAGGATGGGAGCCACAGCCTAAAAATAGTCAAATACAAGTCTGAGCGATTCCAGTGTCAGTCAATACAAGTGAAGGGATGGACACTGCTCGACCGACCCCATGAGTACAATGTTGAGGAATGGCCCCAGCCACTGTACTGGGCCCTCTGATGCTTTTCACCCCGCCCACCGGGGGGGGGCTTGGTCACAGAGCTCTGGACTCCTGGGGTCGATTGAGCAGTGTCAGTAATATCTAGCCTGTCATGTGAATCTGTGAGTTTGAAAACAAATCCAGAATAGTATATGTGTGAATCAGGACGACTAAATTCACACCTGGACATTTTGGGATTGTGGCAGAATCGCTGTGATCGCAAAATGCAGGTTCAGGAGCCATCATTTTTAATGGCACTTAAAACGTGGTGCCGTGATTGTCGCACAGCAGATCACATCGCGTGAAGCTTCTCACTCAAAGGTTGCCTTGCCCCAGGCACTGACAACTACGCAACACAAAAAAAAAAACAAAAAAATCTGGCTCCTAACTTTTTTTTAACTGGCTTCTAGATTCAAAGCAAATTTATCAAGCCCTGCCCTAAACACTTATCTGGCTAAATGTAGGTGCTCCCTTCACTCCCTCCTTTCACAGGAGACACTGAAAGCAAAGCCATACACTCCTGCAGCTGTTAGTCAAACTCCTGTGAAGAGGAAGTGGGATCATGGCTTACTTGAGGGTTAGGGACTGATGTGAATGTACAATATATATGTAAAGCGCTGCGTAAATTGATGGCGCTATAGAAGTACCTGAAATAAATAATAAATACTGGAGGGGGAGTGTATGTGCATACAGAGCAATGTACTGTATAAGTAGTATCCTTTAGTATCACTTTAAAGGAAGCATCTGTAAAAAAAACAAAAGTTTAAAATCAGTAAACATAATATACCTTCCTTTCTATATACTAATGCTGGAAGCACAAGGATTCAAAATACTTCATGCTAATTGAGAGCGTTTAGCACCAGAGACTTCTGTTTTTATTGTGATTTTAGCAGCAGGTTTTAATTGAGGTCTCCTCGCTATCTGGTGAACTGCGTACTGGAAAATGTATTAAACAAAGCTGCTTGTGAATGGTTGACTGCTGGTTTATTCCTTTTATTATGGTGTTTTTCTCTGGTCTGTCTTGTCTGCAGGGCTGTCTGTTTTGGAGATGTGTTTAGTAATCGCTATGAAGCACTTACAAGATACCTACCAAGGGGAGCCTTTCAATTTCCAGATGGTCCACAATGGTGAGATCTGTTTTTCTGTGGTAGATGCAACCATGGGGTTTACAGTTAAAGTGGTATTAAATTTGATGATCAAAAAAAAAAAAAAAAACTTTTCCCCTGCAAGGCAATGTCATAATGTGTTAGCATGCATCAACCCAGCTGCTTTCACCTCCTGTCTTTTGTCCACATCTTGTGGCTTCACAGCCTGGGTCCCACTGCGCATGCTGAACGGTCCTGCAGTCTTCTGGGACCTGTGACATGTCAAAATCAGGTACAGCCTCCCCAAACGTGCCATTTCATAAATGTGAGCTGGGGAGGAGGACCTGAAGCGGAATTTCCTATTTTGGGTGAAGCTCTGCTTTAAACTACAGTCTGGGAAGTGGCATCCAGCAACAAACTAAAAGTGAAGACTCTTCAGCTGTAAATCTGTTGGGTTTTTTTTTTTTTTTTTTTTGTCCTTTATCACTTAAATATTGATATTATCAGCTCAATATGATCGCCTGGCAACTAGTATGTCATAAGGATAGGACAACCATTGTAGTTTATTTAGTCTCTCAGTACAGTACAAAAAGTGGTTGTGTCCCATGTGACATGTTTTGTATTGGAATGTTCATTTGTATTCATTTCTGTTGCTGCAGAATTCCAGAAGTTTGTTCAGAGGAAGGCACATTCCGTGTATAACTTTGAGAAGGCTGTAGTGCTGAAGGTAGGATGTTTCCAGCATTCTTTGTATTTGTGATAAGATTGGGCTACTGAGGATGGTGGGCTGCCTTGTAGTTCATGCAGATGAGTCCTGAGCTGTATGGACACATCGCCATCTAGTGGAAACATTATAGACTGCATAGCTTTAGTTTTTTTGTGATGCATAGTTAAAAAATGATGTGAGTAACCTTTTTCTTAACCACTTCAAGTCCGGACACTTTCACCCCCTTCCTGTCCAGGGCAATTTTCAGCTTTCAGCGCTATCACACTTTGAATGACAATTGCGCGGTCATGCAATACTGTACTCATATGAATTTTTTATAATTTTTTTGAGACAGATAAAGCTTTATTTTGGTGGTATTTATTCACCACTGGGATTTTTATTTTTTTTTACTATGTAAATGAAAAAGTCCAAACATTTTGAAAAAGTGTTTTTTTAATAAAAATTTTGCAAATAAAAATATTTCATCATAAATCTTGGCCAAAATTTATTCCGTTATTTTTTTAGTAAAAAAAAAAAAAAATCCAAATTAGTTTATAACCAAAAAATCATAATTTTTAAACATTTTTTTTACATTTTTATTTTATTTTTTTATATTTTTTTTTTATTTTTTTTTTTACATACTGTCACCCTAGCAGTACAGTGTCACCATGGTGACACTACTACTTGTAGGGGGTGATGAAGATTTTTTTTTTTTTTTTTTTTTACACTGATTGCTTTTACACCCATATAGGATGTAAAAGCAATCATTTCTCTTTCTCTCTGTCTGCATTCTTGCAGTCATTGAGAAATACTGAGTGAGCTGTGATTGGTAACAGCTTGTCACATGGTACAAGGCTGTTGTGAATAGCCTTGTACCATGTGACCTCTGTGATCATTCACAGATTTCACACGTAGTAAGCAATGATGTCACAAGTGACATCTTGCTTACTACTTTGCATGTGATCACTGATTGGCCAATCAGTGATCACATGATCGGGACCTCGTACAGAGGTCCCGTCCGATGATCAGTGTTTCACTGTGTCCGGAGGACACAGCGGGCACTGGATCGCGGTGCTGCGCGCTCCCAGGGAGTGCGCACAGCTAGAAAAGGCGGGTGCCGTTTATGAATGGCAACCCGCCCCTGGACTGCCACCGACCTGCCGTTTATAAACAGCAGGCGGACGGCAAGTGGTTAAAAGTTGTTTTGGATGTGAATCTCACATCTCTCTTGCTGTTGTTTATTTTCATTATTAAATATGTTTAAACAGTATGTACTCAGACACAGCTTTTAAACCCTGAAACACTGTATTAACTCTAAGACGATCACACATGCATGTATAGAAAAGAAAACTTGTAAAAAACCACTATAAAGTGCACACCCCAGCATCTATCTTAACTGATATGGGGATGCACTGTTCTCGGCATCATTGTACTGAGTACAGGGCGCCTTAGTGATCCTCCCCACCAGGAGACACATCCATGGTGCCCTGCACTCACAGAAAGTGGGTTGAATGAAACTCAAGAGAACTGGCACTGAATCTGCGGTAGGTAGCACCAGAGAGAAAGGGCAGGAGTATTGTAATGGGAGTTACATCTTTCATTTTTAGAATTGCTATGCTATTTATTTAAAAACAAAAGGAAACTTGTGCTTTCACAATTTGACCTCCGGAAGTTTTGCCCCCTTCAGGACCAGGGCATTTTTTGCGATTTTAGCACTGTACTATCTTAACTGGCAATTGCTTAGTCATGCAACACTGAGCACAAATGAACTTTTATATGATTTTTTTTCACACAAATAGAGCTTTCTTTTAGTGGTATTTAATCACCACTGGGTTTTTTTTTATTTTTTGCTTTATAAACAAATACTTAAAAAATAAAAAAAAAAGTTAGTTTGTTTTAAAATTTTGCAAATGAATAATCATTCTTCATAAATATAGGCCAAAATGTATTTTACTACATTTCTTTGGTTAAAAATTAACTCAAATCAGTGTATATTATTTAGTCTGTGTGAAAATTATAGTGTCTGTAAACTATGGTATTTGTATTTGAAACTGATTAGTCCAGATGTACAGACTGCCTATTTCATTTTTTGGGGCCTTTAAATGCCAGGACAGAACACATACCCCCCCAAATTACCCCTTTTTGGAAAGTAGACCAAGGTATTTAGTAAGAGCAACGGTGAGTTGTTTTTTTTTTTTTTTTTTTTTGAAGTTGTGATTTTATTTTTTTACTATTTTTTTTTTTTTTTTTATTACATACTGTCAACAGTGCAGTACAGCATCATCATATAACTGGTGTGGTGGTTATCAGGAACACTGACTGGTTACAGTATGTTAAATTTTTTTTTTTAAAAAAACCTTTTTTTTTTTTTTTTTTTTTTTTTTTACCACTGTCCTAGTTTTTAACAGTGATGTTCAATGTTATAAGCAATAGTTAACTGTCATGAATGGCTTTCTATTCATGACATCTTGCTTTCTGTTGATATGTTGTGATTGGCTACAGTTTATCACATGGTACAGGGAGTCTGGTACCATGTGATGGCTGTGAATCAATCGCAGGGTTACAACACTAAGCAAGCAGTCATGAATGAAAACCATTCATGCCTGTTTGTTTACATGACCAATCATAGTGATCGCTTGATACCATGGCCGTTCCAAGCACCGTGATTGGCTGTGTCCATTGGACACAGAGGTCATGAGATTGTGAAATGAAAAAGCGGGCTGTGTAGGTAAGATACATAGAGCCTTTCTGTGGATCAGTGATGGTTAACATTATTGCTGTGTTCTAATTTAAAGTGTTTTTGCATTGTTTTCTGTACCTGTCAGTCACTAGACTGATCTCTCTGCAGGGAGAAAACACATAAAGGCTATAATTTATCAGCAATTCTTTTTACTTTCTTTGCATCTTATTGCATGTCTTCGATGTGCATACTGATCCTATATTTATTAAGCAGCATAGTTTGCTCTCTAATAATAAACCTTTGTGTTTTTGCCAAGCTTTGGTTAGATGCATTTCCTTTCACTTTTAGGCTTTTGAACATTTGCACCAGCTGGAACTGATCAAGCCCATGGAAGGCCTTTCCGTTCGGACTCAAAAAGAATATAGGCTGATGAAACTACTTCTTGATAACAGCCAAATACTGGAAGCTCTTCAGAAGTATCCCAATTGTCCAACTGATGTCCGGCAGTGGGCAGTGTCCTCCCTCAGCTGAGAAGCTTTATTTTCTGTATGCTATAAAGAAGAACCTTTGAGCTGCAAGATATCTAGATGGGACAAGCGATTGGCTTTGCAATAATTCAGCTGTAGGGTTCAGATCCCAGCAATCTTCAGTTCTCTGTGTCCCATGCAGCAGCTGGCCAGTTTTGAGGTTGCAGCTGAAGATTTGGAGATAGGGGGTGTGGAGTTCAAAGCCTGTTGTTGTTTCCCCCTCGGTGCAGAGATCTTGTACTTGTCTTCTCTAAAATTTATATATATTTTTTTACAATGTCATTGGCATAATTTAATGGGACCATTTTTAGATGCAAAGAATGCGTAGTTGAGCATATAAATGGGGTTAAATATGTAATGTACAAGTCACTGAAATGATTACTATGTGCAAACTGTGTTTTTAAATGGCTATTGTTATTTGTTTAATTTAGGGCTGCAAATAACAATTATTTCCATAATCTATTAGCTGGCCAATTTATTGTTTCGATTAATCGAATAAAATCCTAAAAAAAAAAAAATGTGGTATATAATTTATTTAATATGTAAAATTTAAAAAGAAAATTTATTCTTGAATATCTATATGCAATGCTAAATACAAATAACCAGCTGTATGGTTAGGGAACAAACTGTCTAATCCACCCCGAGGATAACAGACAGGAGAAATATACTGTATTTACTTTTAGAGGTTGAATCTGGTACATATTAGACTCAGAGATCAAAATTTTGATTGAAAGTAAAAAAATGTTTTAAAAGACCTAAAACGCTGTTTTACAGATTTCCGACAGGACTGTAATGTAATATTATGCATGGCATACTCCCTTGTCATAGGCAGATAGCTTGATACAACCTGCGCCTGCTGTCACTTATGATGGCCATACACAAATTAATTTTCATTTGAAAATTATCGTTTTAAGAATGTTTTTTCTAATCATTAGTGGGGTCAAATTTGAAGTTCGTTTTCTTCCACATTGACAGGAAAATTCGAAGGGGCAGAATAAAAAAACATTTCTTGATTGAACCAATTTCGGACAGTGGTTTTCTTTCAGAAATTACATTAATTTGAAAATGCATGAAGTACATGGAAGAGTTCCCCGTGCAAGCTGTCACTTTTTAAAGGACGCATGGGGCTCCGCCCACTCTGTTGTAGTTCATTCAATCACAGAACACTGTGAATGAATGACACAAGTCCTGCCCGCCTTAGTGGCTGTCGTCTTGTAGTTCTAACTGAACTACCACGGTGCTGTGGAGAACTGTGATAGTTCAATGAATATTCCTGCATATCTGTTTGCCCGTACGGGCCTGCCTAGCATCAGTGATCTGCTGTTAGCTGGTACAATGCTCCTGCAACCAAAAATAATAAATGTACTTTTTTTTACCTGCAAAAAATGTGCATTTATTATTTTGGGTCAAAAGGTGAACTTATCCATTAAAAACAAGTGAAATTTTTGAACGGCAGTCATCCATTCATCGCATGTACAAATGGAGCTACAAATGATGGGACAAGTTCTGAGCACGTAGCCTGCCTTTGCTAGTACTGGTCCTCACAAATATCCTATACCATGCAGCGCTTAAATGGATCAACAATGTCCGTAATGAATATCAGTATAGCGTCTTTGTTTAAAAGAAGAAACCGGTATTCCTCAATATTACAGATAGGTGAAGAATCATGACGAAACATGTCAGGAAGTTGCTCTCTGTGACTCGACCACGTGGATACTGCACCTGGCCAGGTGCCAATAGGCTATTTAAAGTGTAAGTGTTACTATAATATATATTTTATACACAATTTAAATAAAGCAGTGTTGCACTATGGAACTTTTTGTGCTTGGGCTCTTTTTTCTTTGAGCCCACCTTTTTAAGAGCCCTTGGGATGACATGCTAACCACTGGCACCCTCTGGGAGATTCCATCTACATCACACACATTTGTGATTTTGAGCTGTGGATCTTGGATAACACCTTGACTGCCGGCTCCCCCTGGTGGATTTGGATCGCATCACTCCTATACACTGGCTGAAATACTAATATTCCTGGTGGTGTTTAACAACGGATCCGAGCTCTAGATGTCCAACCTTAGATGACCTCATCCCATCAATTATATGTGCGATATTAAGCACGATCTGGTTAGTGCATTCTACAGCTATATTTACCACCGAAGTCACCATACTATTATCTATTATATCATCACGATTCTTCACTTATCTGTAATATTGTGGAATACCTGTTTCTTCTTTTAAACAAAGACGCTATACTGATATTCATTAAGGACATTGTTGATCCATTTAAGCGCTGCATGGTGTAGGATATTTTTGTGTGTTACAGAAGGTTTTTGAGGTTATTACCTTTCATCCCAGCTTCTCCTGTCACATAGATCTAGCGCTTGTTTTCTCTTGATATTTCAATTAGTACTGGTCCTCGTTCGGTGACATCACTTTCTCCCCCCAGATGTGTTCCATGCTGGTTCCTCCACTTCCGGTTGGCGTTTCCTTGCTGGGACTGCGGTGACGGCGTATCTCATCATCCGTTACAATGGGACTCCTTCCCTGGACATTGGGCTGCAAAGTACCTGTGCATCTCTGATGACAAGCGATCACAGCTCTACCCTCTTGTGTGTGAAACACCTTTGCTTATAAACCGCAAATTAATACTACACTTAGTGGCGCCTCCCTTGTTTTTTTTCTCATGGCACCACTCCTGGAGACTGCTAACCGTAATAAGAGGTGGAGTGCAGTTGGTATTACTCCACATAGTTACATAGTTAGTCTGGCTGAAATAAGACAAAAGTCCATCCAGTTCAACCATTAAAAAAAAAAAAGTCATAATCCTATACCCACAGTTGATCTAGAGGAAGGCAAAAAACCCAGAAAAGCATGATCCAGTTTGCTTCTGCAGGGAAACAAAATTCCTTCCTGATCCCCCGACAGGCAATCGGATATTCCCTGGATCAACTTTACCTCTAAATGTTAGTATCCAGTTATATTCTGTGTATCTAAGAAAGAATCCAGGACTTTTTTAAAGCAATCCACTGAGCTGGCCAGAAGTAACTCTTGAGGGAGTCTATTCCACATTTTCACAGCTCTTACTGTGAAGATACCTTTCTGTATTTGGAGATTAAATTTCTTTTCCTCCAGATGTAAAGCGTTCCCTCTTGTCCTCTGTGATGATCTCAGGGTGAATAACTCTACACCGAGTTCACTATATGAACCACTGATGTATTTATACATGGAGATCATATCCCCCCTTATGTATTATACATGGAGATCATATCCCCCTTATGTATTATACATGGTGATCATATCCCCCCTTATGTATTATACATGGATCATATCCCCCCTTATGTATTATACATGGTGATCATATCCCCCCTTATGTATTATACATGGTGATCATATCCCCCCTTATGTATTATACATGGTGATCATATCCCCCCTTATGTATTATACATGGAGATCATATCCTCCCTTATGTATTATACATGGTGATCATATCCCCCCTTATGTATTATACATGGAGATCATATCCCCCCTTATGTATTATACATGGAGATCATATCCCCCCTTATGTATTATACATGGAGATCATATCCCCCCTTATGTATTATACATGATGATCATATCCCCCCTTATGTATTATACATGGAGATCATATCCCCCCTTATGTATTATACATGGAGATCATATCCCCCCTTATGTATTATACATGGAGATCATATCCCCCCTTATGTATTATACATGGTGATCATATCCCCCCCTTATGTATTATACATGGAGATCATATCCCCCCTTATGTATTATACATGGAGATCATATCCCCCCTTATGTATTATACAGTCATGGCCGAAATTGTTGGCACCCTTGATATTTTTCCTGAAAATCAAGTATTTCACACAAAAAAGGTATTGCATTAACACATGTTTTGCTATACACATGTTTATTCCCTTTGTATGTATTGGAACAAATATAAAACAGAGGCAGAAAAGCAAATATGACATAATGTCACACAAAACCCCAAAAATGGGCTGGACAAAAGTATTGGCACCCTTAACTTAATATTTGGTTGCACACCCTTTGGAAAACATAACTGAAATCAGTCGCTTCCTATAACCATCAATAAGCTTCTGACACCTCTCACCCGGAATTTTGGACCACTCTTCCTTTGCAAACAGCTCCAGGTCTCTCTTATTGGAAGGACACCTTTTCCCAACAGCAATTTTAAGATCTCTCCACAGGTGTTCAATGGGATTTAGATCTGGGCTCATTGCTGGCCACTTCAGAACTCTCCAGCGCTTCTTTGCCATCCATTTCTGAGTGCTTTTTGACGTATGTTTGGGGTCATTGTCCTGCTGGAAGACCCAGGATCTTGGACGCAAACCCAGCTTTCTGACACTGGGCCCTACAGTGCGACCCAAAATCCTTTGGTAATCCTCAGATTTCATGATGCCTTGCACACAGTCAAGCACCCAGTGCCAGAGGCAGCAAAACAACCCCAAAACATCATTGAACCTCCACCATATTTTACCGTAGGTACTGTGTTTTGTTCTTTGTAGGCCTCATTCCGTTTTCGGTAAACAGTAGAATGATGTGCTTTACCGAAAAGCTCTATCTTGGTCTCATCTGTCCACAAGACGTTTTCCCAGAAGGCTTTTGGCTTACTCAAGTACATTTTGGCAAACTGTAGTCTTGCTTTTTTATGTCTCTGTGTCAGCAGTGGGGTCCTCCTGGGTCTCCTGCCATAGCGTTTCATTTCATTTAAATGTCGACGGATAGTTCGCGCTGACACTGATGCTCCCTGAGCCTGCAGGACAGCTTGAATGTCTTTGGAACATGTTTGGGGCTGCTTATCCACCATCCGGACTATTCTGCGTTGCAATCTTTCATCAATTTTCCTCATCCGTCCACGACCAGGGAGATTAGCTACAGTGCCATGGGTTGCAAACTTCTTGATAATGTTGCGCACTGTGGACAAAGGCAAATCTAGTTCTCTGGAGATGGACTTGTAACCTTGAG